CGACGAGGGAGATCAGCAAGGGCAAACGGCAGCGGGCTAGTCTGCTGGCCTGGCGGAGCTCGAGGATGAACCGAGTGGTGGACTCGACCCTGCACGCAGAGACGCTTTCACTCAACACGGGAGTTGCCGAGCTGGGCTGGATGGTCACCCTGTGCCATGAGTTCGCGTTCTCTCAGTTTCGGCTTGATGAGTGGGAGCGGTGGTGCGAACATCGCCGACTACTGTCACTGGCGGGACGCAACGAAGAGGACAAGGGCGCGGAGTTCCTGCGCAAGGGACTGTGCGTCGTGGACGCCAAGTCGCTGTACGACTACCTGCAGAGAGAGACGACAGGAGGTCGAGATCGGAAGTGTGCCACGCAGATCCAGATTATTCGGCAGGCCATGAACGCGTTGGGCTGCGACATCCGGTGGGTGGATCACCCGGCCATGCTCGTGGACGGCATGACCAAACGGAGGGCGAAGTTGGACCTGATGGTGGAGCTGTTCAAGAATGGGACGTTTTGTATTGCCGATGAGAGCAGCACCATGGAGATGCACCGAGAAAGGAGTGCAGCCGGTCAATGGCCACAACGGTGAGTGAGGTGTGCTGCTTTGCCATTTCTAGGCGTGCGTGTGTTGATCCAGTGCAGTGAATGTGCAGGCTGAAGGGAACAGAGATTTTCGGGAGCTGTGTTTGCATAGTGCATCCTATGCCTTGGCGCTTCCCTTCAGCCCCAGTGACCTGCTCACTTTCCTGCCCCGCTGCAGCCATATCCTGCTCGGGCTGGCTTACCCCGTTTCCCCCTCTTTTCCCAACACCAGATATACCAGTATCCTCCCTTCCTTTCCCACCTGCCCGACGCTCACTTGGAGCGTCTGTTATACAGTGCTGCGCCAGTGCCGACGCCCGACGAGACCGAGGGCGGCGTGTGGCAACTTGAAAGATCAGAGAGCGTCATTGTTGCCACTCTCAGAGGAGGAGGAGGAGGAGGAGGAGGAGGAGGAGGAGGATGAGGAGGAAAAGGAGGACGAGAAGGAGGAGACGAGCGTAGGGACGGAGGAGGAGGAGGAGGGGAGGAGGAGGAGGAGGGGGGCGAGGAGGAGGAGGAGGAAGAGGAAGACCAGAATGAGCCCAAGATTCATAGAGAGGAAAAAGCGGAGATCTGCAGGAGGAGGGGGGGAGGGTAGGAGGAGAAGGAGGAGACAGAGGAGGAGGAGGAGGAGGAGGAGAGGAGGAGGGAGGAGGAGGAGGAGGCTGGAGGAGAGGAGGAGGAGGAGGAGGGAGGAGGAGAGGAGGAGGAGGAGGAGGAGGAGGAGGAGGAGGAGGAGGAGGAGGAGGAGGAGGAGGAGGAGGAGGGAAGAGGAGGAGGAGACAGCTTCAAGCATTCTGGGACTCAAGGCTTGCCACGCCCTTTTGAACAACAACATCTCGCACTTAGATCGCTACTTCCGTGAGTCGCTTGTACTTTTGTCTTGTCACTCGCACTGCAAGCGTATTTGGACCTCTCATCAGTTGGAATCCTCCTTAGTCTGTGATCATGTTATCGTTATTGCCATTGCTTCTCATTCCCCGATAACTCCCAGGGTGCTGGTGGCGAGCTCTTACTCTGCGCCCCTGAGGGCCTCTCTCTGCCGCCTTTCTTTTCCGCACGTCTGTGTCCGCAGCGCTCGCCACCACGCCTCATGTGTTTGCGTCTTTCGCCTAGGTCGGCGATTGCTTTGCTCTTGCATTCACGCCACAAGCTCGTGCTTCGGGTCTGCGCAACGTCAAAAAGGATGAGGATGAGGATGAGGATGAGGATGAGGTGGAGGAGGAGGAGGAGGAGGAGGAGAAGGAGGAGGAGGAGGAACCGAGGAGGAGGAGGAACCGAGGAGGAGGAGGAGGAGGAACCGAGGAGGAGGAGGAGGAGGAGGAGGAGGAGGAGGAGGAGGAGGCGCAGGAGGAGGAACCGAGTGAGCCCAGGAGGCGCCCGCCGATGCTGCAGTGCGCCCGCCCGTCTCAGGTCCCCTGGCCCCCGGCGCTACCCCGGCAGGAGCTCCGACTCCCTGCGCGCAGTGCCCCGGGGTCCAGCAGCTCTGCGCGCGAGCCCCGCTGTCAAAGGGAGCCGCCCGTCCGTGCTGCTAGCTTTATGTTGGGCGTGTCCCCCTACAGGGGGATTTTCGAGGAAAAATGAAAGATACTCCAACAATACCCCAAGAAGGTCAAACAATACTCAAAAATAGCCCCCGGACTATTTTTGGACTATTTTGGGCATTTTTTTAGGGTGTTTTTTTTTGTTCCTCGAAAATCCCCCTGTAGGGGGACAGGCCCGACTTAATGCTAGCTTCCGGGTCTCGAAGGACGGCGGCGACGGAGGCTCGGCAGATCACAGAGGAAGCGTCCAGCGAGATCCCCGCACCCGTCGAACGGTGGGCGTCTGGTCACACACCCGGGGCAGGCCTCGAGCGAGGACGCCGACGTGAAAAGGCCGAGCGGCTGCCGTACCACTTTGAGCGAGAGCCCCGCGCTCTGAAGAGGAGCCGCCCTCGGCCCCTGCGCACCCCGTCGAGCAGTAGGCGTCTGGTCACACACCCGGGGCAGGTCTCGAGCGAGGACGCCGACGTGAAAAGGCCGAGCGGCTGCCGCACGACTTTAATGCGGGATGACGATGAATGAAACATGGAGGGGAACGATTAAAAACCATAGTTTTCTGCTATTTCTGCACAGCTTTCTGACTGGAGGAGAACGATGAAAAATAATTTTCCAGCCCGCGGCCTTTTTTTTTAATCGTCACCCCAGGCGCCGCCGCGTGAACACGACCCCCGGTCATTTATGAACCGTCATCCTCCATTACACCCGAGGCAGGTCTCGAGCGAGGACGCCGACGTGAAAAGGCCGAGCGGCTGCCGCACGACTTTGAGCCAGAGCCCTCGCGCTCGCCTGGCACCTGCGCTCAAGCTCTGGGCAACTGGGGCCCCACGGCTTGGGACGCAAGGAGGGGCCATGCCATCGCGATCCAGCACCAGAGAGAGTCTAGAACGTCTTAGGGCCATCTTGGGGCGGTTGCAGATGCTCTGCGGGCTGTCCCAGTGAAACCGTGGCGCTACTTTCGCCGAACATCTGTCGAGGGACTATGAAAGCCTCTCGGGGCCTGAACTCCTCTAAACCAGTCAAGGGTCCCTTCGCCGCACCCTTGCGAACTCGTGAGATGGAGGAGAGGGGAGGAGGAACATGCAGGGAGAAGAGGGCGCAGGAGGCGAGGGCGACAGGCGCGGGAACGGACGGGCGCGGTGAGAACGCGAGGGGCGAGGACGACGAGGACGACCACGAGCAGGCCAAGGCCGAGAACGAGGCGAGGGTAGGCAAGGCCGGCGGGCGAGGCGGGGCGCTCGGGACACTCGGGGCCTCCGGGGGCCCGCCGGCCGCGGTGCGCAGGGCCTGCCGGCGAGACGGGGCACGCGGGGCTGCTGGGGGCCTGGCGGCCTCGGTGTGCAGAGCTGGCGGGCGGCCCTTTTGACGTGAAGTCTCGGGCTGAAATCTCTGGGGGGGCAATTGGGGGGGGGGGAAGAATTTTGATTTTTTTTTGGAGGGGGGGGAAGAAAGGTGCCTTCGTGGGGCAAGGGCCCCTTCTGGGCCCTGAAGGGCCCCTTGAGGGGCCCCGAAGGGCCCCTTTCTGCAGCCCTCGCTGCCCCCCCCCCCCCCACTTATCGCCCTCATTACGCGCCCCCCAAAAGTCTAGCGCCCTCGATCTGTCGGGTGCGGAAGGCGTCGTCGGCAGCTCTGTTCGGGGGCGCCCTGCGGCCCTGGAAGAGACGGGAGGGGGGGGCCGCGCCCAGTCATTGCGAGGCCACGGTGCGGCGAGTGCCGCGCGCCACCTCCCCAGAAGTATGGCGCACGTGTAGGGCCAGCTGCCGCAGGCGAGGCGGGCCTGCAAGAGGCGGACCCGAAGGAGAGCCCGGGGTCCCATACATCAGACGCTGTGTTTTCTCCAGGCGGTCACTGCACTGATGGAGCATGAACTCTTTCGCGCGTGGACTCCGATGCGTGGATTCTGATGGCCCTGTGTGCTTCCCACGGCCGCTGTTGCTCGGACTCCCGTTCTTAGACGCCTAGACCGTTGTTCGGACTCATGTGCCTGGACTCCAATGCGTTGTTGCTTGGTCTCCTGTGCGTGGGATCCTTTGAAAGGACTCCGATGTGTGCGGCCCACTGCCTCTGATTGAAAACGGTTACATGCTGCTTGGACTTCTATGCGTTGCTGCCTCGGTTCCTGCGTGAACTCAAGCGCGTAGACTCCCTATTCCCCCAGCACTCGCATCCCGCGCCTGCGGAAAACGTTTGCATTCGGCCTCCACCTGTTTCTGCTCGACGGCGGCTTCCAGTCAGTGTCATGTAACCGCCACAGCCTGGATCAACCACAGGGGCAGAGCGGAGGCCGCGTGGCTGACACCGCAAGAGCTGACGACGATACCTGCTAACGTCCCCTCGATCCGACCATGGCCTGGCGGCCGCCGCCGCCGACCTTCGCCCAGAGCCAACCCTTTCTTCTCATCCTGCGGTGCGACCCAAGCCTCTTCACACCGCTGAGAGTGCGAGCAGTGCAACAGGGGTGCCACAAGTCAAGAAGCACCAACTTAGCAGCGCGCTGTCCAAGCGTGGCCCAATCTGGCCAGCGCCCGTGGACTTGAAACCGCACGCAGGCCGCCAAACGCTGCCAGAATATGAACGGGTTCAAGCGTATTTGCGCAGGTCGAGGCAGACCCCGAGGGCCGCCGCACGCAGCCGACAAGCGCTCCAAACCAGCCATGAGATGAGACCTTTGGACGCCCGACATGGGTACGGAAACCATGCGTCCAATGCCCAACAACAAATGTGGTCCAAAACCGACAGCGCCCGCTGTTGGGCAGGCGGCTTTTTGTCTTCACGGCACTGCGTCCGCGGCGGCGCGGACGGCGAGTCGTGTCCAAGATGAACAGGGACTGCTGCTGGGCATCGTACCCCACCTTCCCGTACCCACGTCGATCGTCCCGAACCTGGGCCTAGGCGCCACCAACGGAGGTGTGCCCGACGCCGACCTGCGACCCGAGCCGCTCCCGGCCCACCACCTCCGGCGCAGGGCCCCCCGCCTCCCGCTCGGCGCCGAGCACGCGCGCCCGTGGGGGCCTCCCGGCCGGCCCCCCGGCGAGCTCCCGGGGGGCACCCCTGGCGCCCCGGAGGTCCCAGAGGACGAGGCGCGCGAGCCCGTCGCCGCAGCTCTGCTCGCTCGGGGGCGGGGTCAGGTCGAGCTGCACGAGGGCCGAGGTCGTCGCCCGCCGCGGCGGCGCCGCGCCGGCGGCGGCCAGCGGAGGGCGCCGGAGGTGCAGCCGCTCGTGGTACTCTTCGCGAGCGGAGCTCGAGCCGGCCACGAGGGCGGGGTAGGCCTGCTGCACCCAGGATATGAAGTCGAAGCGCTGGGACTGGTCGAGCGCACTCAGGAACAGGCCGTTTGTGTCCACGTGGCGCGTGAACAAGGGAGTGGCGTGCCTGAGGGGCAACGATAGGGGGGGATAGGCATAGGGGGGGATGCATCGATCTGGAATCGGCGACACATCGCCGATAGATCGGCGATGGGCCCCCGATAGTGAACCCGCACCTTCCTGGGCAGGTTGGGGCCATCGGGCCCCTATCGGCGATCAGTGGGCAATTGGGGGTCGATGCCTATCCCCCCCTGTGCCTATCCCCCCCTATCGTTGCCCCCGAGTGCCTCACGCCGTACCCCGCGGTGCGGGTGTCTATCCAGGCCGCAGCATCTGCAGCATCTGCCTCGTGCGGGCTCTCTGCCCCGCCCTGCGCCAGCACCTCCCGACCGGCGCCCTCCTCGCGGGCGCCCGGGGTGCTCTGAGCGTGCCCGCGCCTGCCAGCGTGGAGGCCAGCCGCTGCGCGGTCCTTCAACAGAGGGCTCGTGTCGGTGAACTCGCGGATGCCGACAAAGTACGCAGGCTCGCCCTTCCGGTTCGCGAAGCCTACGCCAAACATCTCGACATCGAGAGGTATGCCAGAGCCATCCTTCATGCACACGTGGAACGCCGCGCACAGCCCCACGAAGTCGTTCTCTGGCAGCCCCGCCTGGCCCATCTGCTCGGAGAACTTCTGGCGGTCTTTTTCGGACGCCAAGAACGACCTCAGGTCCTCCCCTGGCAGAAGGCGCTTGGGGTTCAGCATCAGCATGTCCACGAGCTGGGGGCTCTCGCCCTGAAGCTGGAACGCCCCATCGAGCTCCACAGTCACGTCGCAGACGGCCCGCAGCACCGAGCGCGCTGCCTCGAGCTCATTCTTCGAAGTATGGGCTTCCAGCTCATACCGCACCACCATGGACAGCGACCTATGAAACGATAGCAGTATCATGGCCACGAGCCATGCGCCCATGAGGACGTGATGTGAGGCTCTCTCAAGAAATGGAGAGCCCCTGCTCGAGGACCCGGGGTCAAGGACGATTGTGCTCCAGATCGAGAGCGTGATGACCAGCAACCACGCAATGTTCAGTCGAGCATTCGCATTCTCCAGGCTCAACACAATGAACATCGCATACACACCAAAATTCGCCGACCCCTTGGCGTCACCGGGCGCGCCAACTGGTTGCCCCTCCCAGTCTACCTGGGTCCCGGTCTGGCCGACTTGTACGGGGGGCGCGGGGCCCCCACACCGATCTGGAGGATCCAGCGGGCGGACTCGTCTGTCCCAGAAGTGCTCCCATACGCGCCCGCACTGCCGAAGATCGCTCCCAAGCAGGCTCCGAGACGGCTCAGGAGCGCCCCGATACGGCCCAAGCTGGCCTCAAGACGGCCCAAGAGGCAACCAAGACGCCCCAATTTGGCTTCAAGAGGACACCCAAAACGGGACCCAGGGGCCCAAATCATTTATTTTTCATGATGGTTTCGACTATTTTTTGGAAATCATGTTTGCAAGTTTCTGGACGGCCACAACGGACTCTTGGGCCCCAAATGTCGCCCCAACACGGCTCAAGAGGTTATTGGGCCCAGAGCTGTTTTCCCCGAGATAGCCCCAAGAGTGAAGCCCAAAACAGACAGATCGAACTGGCCCTGGGCGCCCCCAAGAGGACTCCAAGAGGCCCCCATGAAAACTGCAAAACGCTCCAAGAAGCCCGGGGAGGCTTCACGGAAGCCTCCACGACGGCAGAACGGCACGGCAGACCGAAAGGAAACCGAGCGGCGTAAACCCGCCAACAACGGCACTCTACGCGTGTTAGACGTGCACAGCGCGAAATGGGAGGAATCAAAATACGAAGACGGGGCGCATGAAAATCACGACGTATCAAAATATGTTGAAACTTCAGCAGCAGCAGTGCGTAACCCCGTCTGCACCTCCACGGGCGCCATGCCACATCCGCCGACCAAAACTGAATCGCCCAGTCTGGGCCGCTGGAGCCTCTTGCGGGCTCCAGGCGGCTCAGGAGGGTTTCGGGATGGTCCAAGACGACGCAACGTTGCTTCAGGACGGCCTGCGAGACTGCCAAGACGCCCCAAGCGTGGTCCAAGAGGACCCCCGAGAAGCCTAAGAGAGGCAACGCTTTTGACAGATTTCTTCCGGCAGTTGAAGACGACCCAAGAAGCCCCCCACGGTGGCCTGGAGGGGCCCCAAGATGCCCTCCAGAGGGCCCCAAGACGGCGCCAAGACGGCCCCAAGATGAGCTAAGCGGTCACGAAAACAGCCTCGAGACGGCCCGAGAGGGCCCCGAGACGGCCAAATATGGTTCTCAGAGGGCCTCAAGAGGCCTCCAAGATGACCAAGGAGACTTCCAAGAGGCCCTCAGAGCTCAGAGGCCTCAAGACGGCCCCGGAGATCCCCAAGAGGCCCCCACCAGAGCCCAACGCCCTCCCCCCCCAGAGCCCGCAAGAACTCCCAAGACGCCCCCCGAGGCCTTCAGGAGGCCCCCAAAGAAACTTCGCACCAAACTCCAAGAGGTCTCGAGTAAACATCCTCCGCCTTCTGCCGTCAAAGGTGCGCGCAACGTCTAACCTAGACGCGTTCTGGACGCGCGCCGCGCGAAGCGAGAGGAATCAAAAGATGGAGCGTAGGACCCCCGCATTGAAATTGGCGACACGTACACTGCGATGCATGCAGACAGCAGGGAATACCAAATGTCCAGGGTCTTCAGTGTCAGGAGCTGCGGGAATGCCCACGCAAGCAAGTTGACGTAACAAAACGAAAGCCAGGCGATGTCCATGGTTTGAGACGCCACGCGACTGTCTGGACTTGAGCTCCTGGAGAAGGTTGCACTGATCAGAATTGTAATGCCAAGATGAAGGTAAGGAACCACCGTGCGAGCGCGGCTTAGCCGCCTCCTCTGCAACTCCTTGACCACGTTGTCCTCCTGAGCGCCTGCAACCAAGCGCGTAGCTGCTCGACGCAGCCTCGCCAAGCAGCCGGGCCCAGGCACTGCCAATCGCATCGGCCGGCTGCGCCGCAACCACAGCGCCGCGCGGACCAGCAGAACACAGCCGCTCAGCGATAACCAGACAGCGCATCCAATGACGAAGGCCGTGCGCTGGCCTTCACCCTCGGAGTAGTGCCGAGGGACCAGCCCCATCCTGACAGGACAAGCTCACCCGCTTGCGCCAGGCACGGCCCGCCGTGACGAGACTCGCCTGGTGCTCAGCCTAAGAGCGAGAGCGCTGACCCCAAAGGCTACGGCGAACAAGCAGAGGAGAGGTGGCGGACGGGGATGACCAACAAGCACATGAACATGACGCAGGGGCCGCAGGTACTCTTGAGAACAGTATCGGATAGATGGTTCCCCCTCACGCGGATCCAATGCAAATCGCAAACGTGAACGGCAGGCTTGTGTCGTGACGACCCCGGCGTCGATTTCTGACACCGCGCGGATCGTTCAACCTTGAACGATCGGCGGTTGTCCGATCGCCCGATCGTTCCATGTAGGCCGATTCCGGACCACTGGCGGCGCTCAACCTTGAACGCCTGCGGCGGGATCGCCGCCGGTCGACACGACGCGCACCTACCGTAGGACTGCTCTGGGCGAATAAACTTCGTTGCGTTTCCTTGATCGGGGATCTTCTGACCCGGGTCAATACAGACCCGGGTCAACAAGAAACCAAAAACTGCAATGCAGGAAAAACCGGGGCCAGCCAATATGCGCGGCCGCCTCGCGGCCACGAGCGGCTCGCTAACCCCAGTCAGCCAGAGGGGGTCTTCGCAGGATCCTGCAGGATCCGGTGCCCTGGCTGACCCCCGTTTGCACTGACCCCCCCTTAGGCCCCGACTTGATTCTCCCTCTGCCGCTCCGGCAGGGAGGCGGGTCGGCGGGAGTGGGCGTGCCGGGTGAGGAGGGAGGTGGCCTCACGCTTGCCCTCAGGGGCTGCCACCGTCACGCCACGGGTGGCAGGTGTCTCCCGTCGTCCTCCTCGTCCCCCTCCCTCGTCGTCCTCCTCCTCCTCCTCCTCGTCGTCGTCCTGCTTCTCCCTCGTCGTCGTCCTCCTCTCCTCCTCCTCCGCCTCCTCATCCTACCTCCTCCTCCTCCCGTCGTCGTCGCCGTCGGCGGACGACAACGATCTTCAAGGGGGTTCGAGGATCAAGCTTTCCCGGACGCTTCGCGCAGGAGTGCGAAAGAAGGGGGCACGCTTTGAACATGTAGCACCTCGCATGTGGTGAAGGGGGCCTCGGGCTCCACCAAGTCACTGAAACACATCAGTTGTGTTCCACAAGTGGTTTTCGTATACTGGACAGAGGCCTCCAAGAACCCAAGAGGCCTCCAGGAGGCACAAGAGACGCCCGAAAGAAGCCTCAAGGAAACATCCCAAATGGACTGAAGAGCCCAGGGACGGACATGCCCGCCATGTTTTTGTCCATGGCGCCCAGGCTCGAGGGTACGTGGTCCTCTCCGAAGGGTCTCGCATGACCCACCTTCATTTTTCGGCGCAATGGAGAAGGGGGTGGAGAAAGTGCATAGACAACGATATATATATATACATATATATATATATAGATATATGCTCGCCCACCCAAATGATCATACACATTCTCCCTTTATCCATTCAGTTCTCCCTCCCCCTTCCCTCCTCCTGTTCCTCATTGTTTTGCTACCTTGTCAGCTGCAACCCCGTAGCAAGCAACCCGATCGCTTGCAATCCAATCGATTGTAATCCAGTCGATTGTAACCCAATCGATCGCAAACAAAGGGGGTGGCACCGACTCGATTGAAAACCAATGGGTTGCATTCCAACCGCTTTCACCGAAGCGACTGCAACCGTATATATTGCAATCGTTTGCGACGCAATGCAATCCAATCGGTTGCTTAAGGACCCCTTGGTAAAAAAGGTTCCGGACTACGGGTTCTCCAGTCAAGATTATTAGTCGGGGGTCGTCCTTCGTAAAGTCCCTCATTGACGAGTCCTTAATACAGATTCCTCCCTAAAGACTCCTTAGCACATATTCCATATGAAGAATTACTTCTTAACTGTTTGTAATAATGAATCCCCCCAAAAAAAACCTTGCTACTGAACCACTAACCAATATTCCTTCTTCTACATTCCGGTGTTAAGAATTATTGCTCGGGATTCCTGAATCCAAAATGCCTTTTTTAAAAAGTCCCTCAGCAAAGACTCCGTCTTAAGGGCTCCTTAGTAAACGTTCCTCATGGAGGATTCCTTCGTACGGGTTTCGCATTAAGGATTCCTCCCCGTGAATATTCACGATTCTTTACTAGACATTCCTTACTGAGGGCTCGTTAGCGCAAGTCCATTATTAAGGACCCCTTTTTTAAATATGGATCTGTACTGAGAAATCCCTAGTAAGAACTCTGCCAATGCCCCGCAATAAAGATGCTTTATTTTGGAGTCATCCGTAAATATTCCGTTGCAAGAATTCTCCAATCAAGAGGCCTATATCAAGGAAGGCTTCGTTCGTGAAGATGTCTTATTCGGAATTCGTTCCTAAAGACCCTTTGTTTTACGAGTTCACCAGCGGATATTACTCATGGAGGGCTCTTTAATGCAGGTACCATATTTAGGATTCCATACTACAGATTATACATGAAGGGTGCCCGCGTTATTGCGGACTCCTCAGAAAAAAAGTTCCTCACGAAGGATTCCTTGGTACATATTCATGATTTAAAGAAAACTCAGCAAACACCCTTTTAAAAAAACGATTCGTTAGTGAAGGTTCATCACTAAGGATTCCTTCGTGCATATTCCTTTTTTTGAGGATTCCAGAGTAACAGATTCCTGGTTGCATATTCCTCAATCGAGATTCGTACTTCAATATTTCTTATACAATATTTCTTACTCAGCACTACATAAAATAAGGTTTCATTATCAAGGATTATATATTCAATATTCCTGAGCAAGGGTTCTTTCGTATATATTCCTTCTGGAAGATTCCTTAGTGCATGTTCCGTACATGTTCCTCAATGAGGGTTCCGTAATAAAAAGGTCCTGACCAAGGATTCTCGAATAAAGGTACCTCGCGAAGGATTCGCTAGCAAAGCCTCCATATCAAGGGTTCCTCCTGGAAGATTCCTTCTTCAGGATTCTCCAGTAAACGGTTCC